GATGAAAATTTCTTGTACAAAAAGATGCTCTCTCATCTAAGACTGTATTAGTCTAAATTCTCTACAGTCCCGACATCTGCAGCTGGCCAGAGGTGCTGGTGTAAATGCCAGTGCAAATGCCAGCAGGCTGGAGACCCAAGAACTGGTGTTTCAGCTGAGTACAAGGAAAGGAAAAGACCACGCCCTAGCTCAAGACAGTTAGGGAGGAGGAGTTCTCCCTTACTGGTGGGAAGGTCTGCCTTTTGTTCTATTCAGATCTTAAATTAAGTCCCACCCATATTAGGGCAGGCAATCTGCTTTAATCAGTTTACCAATTCAAATGAAAATCTCATCCAAGAACACCCCCCAAGACATACCCAGAATAATGAAGTATCTGGGCACCTCATGGGTTAGTCAAGATGACACATAATATTAGCCACCTCAGTGCCCACAATGAAAAATCATTTTCTTGTTTGTTTGTTTGACTGAAGTGTAGTCAGTTACAATGTATCAATTTCTAGTGTACAGGATAATGTCTCAGTCATGCATATACATACATATGTCCTGTAACTGAAGTTACAAAATAACAGTGGAATGAAAAGACAGTGACTTAATTTTATTATAATATGTAGAATATGGTACTTTCATTTTGAATGGTATACTTTTCTTGCTGTTCGAGTAAGTAACCACCTTAGATTTCTCATGTATGTAGAATGATTATGTATGCAGGCAAAAGCAGAGTGTGGGATAAATAAAATTAATTGTTAAACAGATTTTTAAATACTTTAGAAACCTGTCATTGCGTCTTGGTATTGCTATTCAATTAATGCAAATGCTGACTTAATCTCTTAATATTTCACTTACATAATAATTTGCTGTGAGGTTTTGTCTTTTAGCTTACAAGTATACTCTGCAGCTTGAGGACTGAGATGCTAATTTCATCCCAGGTCTTCAACAGATGAGGAGTAGGAAATTAAACAAGTGACATAACTGTGGTCTTTGCCTGAACTTGTTTAATTGAGAAACTGGAGCAAAAATGTTCCACACTTAGTGTTACTAGAAAAATTTGAACTCCTTAGATGAAATACTCCGTTTGAATTTACTCAGCCTTGTAAATACATTTTAAAAAGTGATTGACCTGCACAAATTTGTTACCAACCTTCGCTTTCCCATGGTGGCTATCTTCTAGAGAAATGAAGGAAATAACTTCTCTTTCCACTTCCCTCTCAGATATTCGTGCTTAACAGAGGCTGAGTAGACCAGCATCTGTTACCTGGGGTGGAGCTATTACCGTCCAATGAAGTGCTGTGTGGGAAACAATTACATGAAATCAGAATGCAGATTTAGGATCACTTAAGGTCTGCAAATTTGGCCTAGATTTTAAAGTAATGAATAATGAAAAGATTTAGAGGATAGAGTTCCTGTGCCAGGAATGTTCTCCTCTTAAGGAAAGTCCCAAGGTGAAATGACTTGGGAAAGAGAAATCCAATCTAAAAATTGGGTTCTTTTTTAAATTTTACTCAGAAACTAGTTAGGAAAAAAAGAACAAAATAAACACAGGCTTGAGGGTACTGTGGTTCCACCCCTGACCGCTGGTTAAGTCACAGGAGAGTGGGTGGTAGAAAATGAGGTGGCCAGAGAAACGAAGAAAGAGAGACGGACAGAGGAAGGAAGAGAAGACAGAGAAAGAGAGAGACAGAGAGGAGATGTGCTGTGGGCTGGCTAGATAGGTCCTCCCCAAGAGTTACAGGGAAACCTAGTAGGCCAGGAGCAGGCCCCAGGAAGGCTCCTCAGGGAACTCTGTGTCCCGCCTGGCTCTCCAATCTTGGATTGGCTTTCTTGAAGGTTTTACCCTTGATTTGGGCATAACTCTGACATGAGGTTCAATAGCCAAGTGCTCCCAGCTACGGGGCCCAGCTCTAACTCAGGCCTCGTGACCCTACCATTCTGTACTCTGTCCTCCCTCTGTAAGTAGTCCCGGTTAGCACCACAGATGTGGTGTAACAGATCTTACCTTTCACTGTGTAATTTTAAACAATTCTAGGTAGTGCTCACCTGGTCGTGATCTTAGTTTACAACGGAGTTTGTATATGATGGAGGTGGCAATACAGACCTTCCCATTAGTCAGGTGAAGTAAAGCAAACCAGAGCAGAGGGAAGAATGCGGAAGAGTTTTAGGGTATGTGATTCTGAAGGCTGAATATTACCCTTTTGAATCACAGAAATGTAATGCACAGAAAATATTAAAGCTGTGCAGTGGAATTAGCCATGGCAAGAACAGGGAGACTGGAAGAGAATCTCTGCTGGCTTCGGAAAGAATGCCTGGGGCCAGTGAAAGACTGAGGTCGAACAAGAACCTTGCTTTCTGTAACTATTAGAACAAACAGAGAATGTGAGGATTGGTTGGAGTGAGACATTTCTGCCATCTTAGAAACTTGCATGTATGGGAAATAAATACTTTTTGTCAGAGGGAAGCAATCATATAACAATGGTGACTGAGTAAAAGTGGCATCAAAATTTAAAGCCACGATTATTTTTAAAAACTTCATTAGAAGTTTTTTTACAGACAACATGTTGTAAAATTTAGAATTGTCAGTTTTTGATCCATGCCATTCTTCTGTAGAGAAAAAATTTCTAAGGAGCATGGCTGATATTTAGAATGGATATAAAAATTATGTATACAAAATAAAATTAAACCAAAGCTATATATTCATTGATGTTGACTAGGATACATATGCAGTCTCAAAAATACATAGATGTTCCTGCAGTAAAGGAAAAGTAGACCACTTTAAAATAATTTTTAATTTTATTGGCTGAGCATCTGAGAGAAGACTAGATTCCATCAAAACCTCATTAATTATAAGAGTGCAAAAACCTCAGTTTCACAAATTTAAATGCTTCCTGCCACCATTCAGTACATGTGATTGAGTAAGGCAGGCTGAGTGTGAGACACAGTGATGGGACGCTGGGGGACATCTTACCTTCCCAGGGCATTCAAATGCAATTAGGAGAAAAGTCTACTCCAGTTAAACAAGTACCTTCATTACCTGGCTCTCTCAAAAATACTTGGGACATTTCTCACGATATCAAGTAGTTTCTTTGCTTTTCGTGATCTAGTACTTAGGGGTAGCTTGTCTTTGGGAAGAATCAAGACCCACCCTAAACTATCCCAGCTGATATAGAACCTCCAGGAGTCTTTAGAGTCTTTACCCCAGGAGTATATGAGGGAGTGAAAGAATATTAACTCTTTTCAGAAAATTAGGCTTTCAAAAGAAGAAAATTGGGGGGTGAAGGGGTCACCGTAAAAAGGCTTAGGTTGCTACTGGTTAGATTGTATGGTAGAACACTCTTTTTCCTTTCTTTTTCCGAAGTACTGAATTACCCAAGATATTTGTAAATGGCATTAAGCTGAAACCTTCTCTAGTTTATAAACACTCACACAGACTTTCCGTCTTAATTGATTTTAAGTTTGTGGCAAATTTCTTTCTATTAGGAGTTCAAAAAATTGGAGAAGTATCGAAATATTACTGTATGTTTGTAAGATCTAGCATTATAGTTGAAAGAAGCTAGAATCATTCACTTTCTGAGTATTAAAATGTGTCTTTCCAAATCTTCTGATACTTTGCATTTAGAAGTGTTTCTGAAGTTGTGTCATGACAAAGCAGCATGGGGCAGGCTTGAGGGTCGATGTTTTGATTCAGTGGCGGACATGGATTGCGCACACAGTTGGCGCCTGTTGTCTCCCTTCCCCCCTGATTACTGCTCTGGGGACTGGCCTTCTTCCACGTTTCACACTGAAGACCACAGCATCTCAGAAAGAGTCTAGCTTTTTGGAAGTTTTATTGCAGAAGACATTTTTAATCAGTATTAATTATAAAACTCTCTAGTTTACTGCTTTTTGATTTTTTAGTTGTGTTTTGTTTTATCTTTGTAAAGCTACTGTCATTTGTTTTGCATGCTAGACAACTCTTAGTTTAAGAAATAATAGTCTATCATATTGTATTTTCCCAGAGGTTGCACTTGGCTTTGTGGTTCTCTTTGGCCCAAGGTGTTTGGCATATACTCTTAAGACATATGGGAATATGCTTTGTAGAAGAAATGGACAACCTTTTTTCCATGGTTTTCAAAAAAAATTTTAAGAATAGAATTAGATCCTACCAAGATGTTCTTTAAATTATGGGAAAACTTAAAAAAAAACTAAATCTTTTAAAGAATTTAACAGTCTTTTATAATATTTCAAATTAGTTATTATAGTTTATAATAAATCTATGATTGTCAATGAAAAATTAGTCAATCTAAGAAAGAAATGGAAAATTTTATTTGAGCTAAATTTGAGGACTGTAACCTGGAAGAGCATCTCAGAAGCTCTGAGAACTGTGTCAGTGGTTAGAAATCAAGGCGCAGTTTTATAAGTTTTCTGAGACAGAGCTGTACCTCAAATAATGTATTATTGACAGTTTACATAATCCAGATCTAAGCTTCATCCTAGTGGGTCATGTGACCCCTTACAAGATCAAGAAGGAATATTATATTTTAAGGAGTTGTCTTGTTGATCCCAGGAGAATGCTGCTCTTTACGGTTGAGCAGGTATTCCTGCAGATGGGGGAAGTTTGTTCGATGAATAACAGAGATACACTGCACAGTTGAGGGGGAGGAGATCAAAGGCAGAAGAAACTTTTGTTTAAATTTTTCTTGTCTTTCATAAGACATGAATTTTTTATTTCACAATGATAAAAATGCCTTTGAAGCAACATCAGGAAGCAAATCTTAATATAGGGCAGTGCTAGTCCCACTTCAAAGAGAATCACCATCGTAGAGGAATGCTGCTACACAGATTCCTGGGCTCCATCCTCAAGGGTTCCCATTTGGGAGGACACGACTGGAGCCTAAGCATTTGTATTTCAAATATGTTCATGGGTGTCATCGATGCTGCTGATTTGTGGACCACATCTTGAGTAGCATTGATTCAGGGATAACCTGAGAAGCAGAGTGTGTGCTAACAATTTAAATTATATTTTTCAGAAAAATAATTTCAACTGTTCCAGAAGAGGTCAGTGTCCAGAGACCAACATAAGCTCTGTACAGATGCAAGATGACGCCAATTATTTCATCAACCATCTTGGAGTTCCCACCGTGAGGTTTGCTTATGAAGACATCAAAGCATTAGAGGTAATTGTTTTTAAAAATACAAGACACACACACACTAAATAGCAAACACACAGAATTTTATTTTATCCTGGCTATTCGTCTTTTTTACCAAGTAGGTCACACTGTAAGAAGCTGCTTCATTTAGAAAGTTAACTCTTGTTCAGAGGCTTTGTAAGGATATTTGAATGAAAACATCAGCTCTTTTCAGTAGTCGTGAAATCAATTTAAAAAGATTTATACTGTCACTCACATTTTTGCAGCATGCTTCGCAACAAGAAATTTACAGTTGTTGGATTAACATCAAAACATAATTGTAATCTTCAGTATTCACAGAAACAGATGACAGGTGCAATAGATCCTCCTCTCCTTGCCCAAGGGAAAAAGCATTTCCCATGCGGTGTATTAATGTGAGTCTTGTGGGTTAGCTACCGAAAGTTTGTCGGTAGTTCCCGTGCCTGAAAAGGTGCTACTTTTTTGTGAGGATACGAGGCTTTTTCCCAAAGAGTATCAGAGAAGCCTGAGTCACCTTAATTAAGTGTGTTCATCCTTCTGTTGGACTTTTAGCCTTTTGTTCTTTCTCAGAATTATGTCACAGGAACTGTTTCTCTGTAGATCCGAGCTTTTTGCAATATTTTACCTTCTTTTACAAATTGTGCATGCATTATTGGGAGCTATTTAAAAGCTTCTGGGGGTGGCCTGCTTAAGGTAATCATTACTTTAACCATATTGTGGCTGGAAAAGAGAGTAAAGCCTGCTTTGTTTTTGAATTACAGATGTTCCTGAAAAGTTGTGTTGCAATTTTGTTTTTATAGGCTCGATGTCAGATATGCAGTCTCTTCATTTCTGATAGTTTTTTGCACTAGTTACCTCTGTGTTTCTCTGTAGCCCTCTACCCTCACCTCCTTTCTTACTTCCTCTGCAAACAGCTAACGATCAATAACAATTCATGGAGGGAGAAACTCTGGGTGACTTCTGTTGTAATGAGATGAATTTTTGGGTTATGCAAATACAGTCATTATGATTTCATCTGTTTTTTAAAATTGGATTTCCATATGCTCTTGATGTTGAAGAATGTGGTCCATGTGTAGAGGTATCTTCTCTTACCAAGCCCATAGATACACTGATGAAATTGATATATTAAGAAATGAACTCATTTTTAAATCTCCTGTTTGATGCCTCATAACATCTTTTTATCATCCCCTGCCTCATTTCAGCCCTTTCAGCTCCTGTCATGTAACATGTTGAATGATAGCTTTTATTCAATGCATGTCTAGTTCGTTTTGGTTGAGTTTGAATCAAGAATTTAGATACGACATAGGAATGGGACTATACTTGACTTTGGGCTCATACTTACTAGGCAGATGATTTAACTTCTTTCAGAATTATTTTACAGATGAGGAACCTTGGTTTACTTATGACTGTATAAATAAGGATTAAATGAGACTATGCATGTAAAGGCTTAGCTAACAGTAGGTGTGGAGTCAGACCTCCAGCAACCACAGCTGTCATCATAGTCATTCTTGTCTGATTTACCTATTAGTGGAGATGTCTAAACTTTCTTAGATAAGAAGATATTAGTGGGAGGGAGGAGCTTGTTCATTGTTAAGAAAAGCAAAGTTCTAAGGCTGAGGAGGTGGGATTTGATGAGGATCAGTTGGAAGGTGGGCAGTGTTAATGGGAGAAGGTTGGGAGGAAGATTCCAGTCAGTTTCTCAGAAGTTGCTGCTGTCGCTGTGAAACTCCTCGGGCTCAGGGCTGCCCCGAGAACTGCCTTAGTCTGAAGAAGCTACTCAGGTTTTCAGATTATACCAGAACGTCCAACTCCCATCATCAAAATCATTTTCTACTGTATTTGTCCCCAAAAACATAATTAAAAGAAAATCATCTATGCTTTATAACAAATGACCTTGTTTACATTGCTTTAGTGTGGAAAATTTTTTAAATGGATTTGTCCCTTAAAAAATCTTAACGCTTGAGATGAGATAATTTTGTGTGGTGAACTCTCCGAAGCACAGATTGATAATAACCCTTTGCTTTCTGTGTTAACCTATACTGGATATTTGTATACAGTTATTAAGAGGAATTAGAAACACTGAGTCTTTATCCATGATATAAAGGCTATTTATTCTCTGTCAACTAGTAAAGCAGGTGAGGAAATTAGAGCTTTTTTCATGAATTTGCAATTAAACTTAAAATATATTTTATATATATTATGCATATAATATATAATATAATACTTACCACTTATTGAGTACTTGCTTTGCTAAGTATTTTTATATTAACAAATATTTTAAAGTACCTCATCTCATTTAATATTTACCGTATCCCTATGAGTCACCTACTACTATTCACAATTTTTTTCTTTTTTTGGCTGAGGATGAAATGGCTCTTAAAATCAAATAGTTTAATCCAAGCTTATGAAACTGATGACTGTCCAAGACAACTTGTCATTAGACCTCTTTTAACAGCAAGCCCACGTTCTTGACTATTACACCAAAGTCTGCGAATTGGAATCCCAAGGGCAAGATCTTGTCCACACATACCTTTTGTTTGTTCTGTGCTTTATTGAAAACTGGGGTTTCTGGATGCACTGGATTCTTTTTCCCCAAGGAAACTTGACTGAATTGTGATTTACAATTACGATATTAAGAAGAAAATGTCTTCAACACACCTTGCAATCAAAAATTAGGAAATGAATGATCGACCTGAAGGGCCACATGTTTGACCAGACTTGTGTCCACTATATTAGCTGCTGGGCTGCTGGAGAAACTGAGTTCACTATCTTTGCCGTCATTTTGAGTAAAAAAGTTAAAGTTGGTAATTCTACAGTCCCTTTCACTTTAAAAATTGTGTATGTATTCTAAGCTAAATTATACTCATGTGTTTGAAGAAATTATCTATTTAAAATTTATTTAGGTGACTATAATGCAAATCTTAGTATATCTGACAGTTTTTTTAATCCAGCAAAATTGATTATGAAACTCTTATATTCAGTTTCAGCAAGTGAATAATGATAATAAGAGAAAAATTACCTGTAGGAAAAGAAACTAGTGCCACAGACACCACTTTTTATGGACATATGAAACACTATTCTAAAATTATTTTTTTGATGAACATGGCATTTTATAATATCTATTCCTGGAATTTTGTCCACATTCCCCCCAGTAACCTTCCCTGTAGTTTCTCTGGGTGCTAATATATTACATAAGGTTGTTTGACACACCTCTCATCTTTAGCAATTCTTGGCATCTATACTCTAATTTTCTAATAATTAAATTTCACAAATTTATGGGTTTGCCAAATGTTAGAATTATTCCTTCTCATAAGCTATCACCTTGTTAATTGAAACGTCTCTAGTTGTAAGCTTCATTTAAATAAGGTTTTCAATTTGTAAACATTGTTGCACCTGTTAGGAGAAGCATTCTGAGCAGATTAAATACAATGCAGAGATTGCTGAAAAGAAAATGAAAAGACAGATGCCTTCTGATTAAGAGTGCAATATTTATGACAAGCTGGTGGTCCAATGCACATTTCTTCTGTCACTTAACAGCTGTTTCACATAATTTTTGTTCCAGATCAGTATATTTACTCTCCATAGGGCATGTCAGAGGGTCTGGCTTTCTTAGTATATCAAGAGATCAAACCATGCCCTGTCAAGCTTTATACCACAATTTGAAGCTTCAGTTCCTCACTCTGTTTAACCTCATATTTTTTGCTCTTCTGCTCGAAATATTCTATTTTAAACCCAATTTACCTCTATAATGGAGCATTTAACATTTAGATGATAATGAGATAAAGGAGTATTATAGCTTTTATATAGCAGGGGGTTTTGCATAATTTGTTTCAATATCATCTGGTAATTCAGTGAATGAAAACCAGGTAGCTTAAGTGTTTTGAAACTCTTATTAATTCTTTTTAAGTTAGATGACTTTGATATCAGTTCTGATTAAACTGATACACAGTAGTATGAGTGTGTGTGTGTGTGTGAACTTTAACATTAAGGTAATTTTTTTTATTGAAGTATAGTTGATTTACAAAATTGGGTTAGTTTCAGGTGTACAGCAAAGTAATTCAGATATTTATAGATTTTTTCAGATTCTTTTTCAGTATAGGTAATTACAAGATACTGAATATAGTTCCCCGTGCTATACAGTAGGTCCTTGTTTATTTTATATGTAGTAGTGTGTATAACATTAAGCTAATTTTATGGGATAAAAGATTTGTACAATACAGATACAATACACATAGACACATTTTGGAGCAAAGTAACTCAGAGTTTACACGTGGATTCTTTGTTTTGTTGTTCTAAGTAGAAGAAAATTTAAACTAGAGATCATTCTGTCATTACATTTCTTTGCGGGGAACTTAGTCACTGTCATTGTTATGTTAACAGATAATAACAGTTCAAAAGTCAATTAAAAGCTCTTGACTTAAGGAACCAAATAATTATGTGTAACTGTGCTTAAATTGGACTGATGCTTTGCGGTATCTAATAGAATCTGTTTCATACTGATAACTGCAAAACTAAGAAATGCGATTTTACCTTTTCTACTTCAAAATTTGCCAGCTGGAAGCAGGAGAGGGGTTCTGCAGCATTCTCTCCAGTGTATTCTTCATCTTTGTAAGTGACTTTAGTAAAAAGAAAAGCTCAGATCACAGTAAGTGGTATGATTATTTTCAAATCAGACCTGCTTTCATTTAGAGTAAATGTTTTCAAACATTTTGTTCTAAAAACCCATTTGCCCTCTAGAGGTATTGAACACTCCAAAGAAAAGAACTTTTTGTTTATGTGTAAATATTTACCATATTAGAATTTAAAACTGAAGAAATATAACATTTATTAATTTAACATATCAATAATACATTTGTTACATATTAATATAAGTGACTTATTTTTACAGAAGGTCATTATATTTCCCAAGGCAAAAACACATAAATAAGGCGAGGGGCGCCGTTTTACATTTTGCGAATCTCTTTAATGTAACTGAATACTAGACATCTGGATTCTCATATCTATTTCTG